CGTTGTCTTTTCCTCCCAACTTATCCGGCAATCTTGTTTCATGTTTTCTTCAGTCGACGAATTCCATCTTCGAGGTAGGCTTATATCTTGTCCTGTTTCAGCTTATTGTGTATCATAGTGAATAGATGTTCGACACTTTCCGGCTTCACTCTATTGTGTCTATGTCATTTGTGCCTTCTACTATGTAACCATATTCCCATTCATTGCTACCGCACAATTACTGTTCAAGTCTAAATATGGATTGTCGCCAGCATGGTCAAACGCTTGTAATAGTTTGATTTATCTCATGTAAGTTTCATAGTACTGCGATTGCACGTTGAGAGTCATCCTGTTTTCAGGTCAGCCATTCTTTCGCCGATACTTGGACATGTAATCGACCGAATCGGTCGCGATATTTATTGGCTCATTAGTAGTATTACGGGCACAATCATCGCACATGCTCTAATCACATTATTCTTGCTGCATCCAATCGTGCCACTCATCCTGATGGGTATTACTTATTCGATATTGGCTGCGTCATTGTGGCCACTTGTTGCACATCTCGTTCCCAAGCAAATGTTGGGCACTGCTTATGGACTAATGCAATCGATTCAAAATTTGAGCCTTGCCATCATGTACGAAATTCTGCTTTCTGACTAATATTAGTTATACGTTTTGCTTATTTCCTAGGAATATTTTCACCGGTTTAATTCTTGATCGATACGGCTATTTTATGCTTGAAATCTTTTTTATCATTTGTCTCGAAATGGCACTACTCGCTGCCGCTGTTCTCTACGTTTACAATACGCTCAAGAAAGGAATATTGAATGATTCGGCTGCGGTTCGACATGCCAAGCGCGAACTTGTAAAGACACCTACCGATGTAGAAATAAGACTAGATAATCGTTTACTATAATTAATAATTTCGCAATGGAAAATTGTCACTAAAGGGTGTGGGGTGTGGTGTGGGTGTGTGGGTGTGGGAGTGGGTGTGGGTGTGGGTGTGGGTGTGGGTGTGGGTGTGGGAGTGGGTGTGGGTGTGGGAGTGGGTGTGGGTGATGGTGTGGGTGTGGGTGGGTGGGTGTGGGTGGGTGTGAGTGTGAGTGTGGGTGTGTGAGTGTGGGTGGGGTGGGTGTGGGCGTGAGTGTGGGTGTAGGTGTGGGTGTGGATGGCGTGTGGTGTGGTGTGGGTTTGATTGGATGTAACAGCTAGAAACAACCCACACCCATCCATTCGAATATTATCAGTACTACGAAAATCGACGTAGCTGATACCATGGATAAAAGACTTGAGCCAGGCACTAGTCAAAGACCAGTTTGGAGTCACTAGACAAGGAATAATTTCTACATATTTTTGGTTGACTAATTATAATTGTTTTCGACAAGCTTCTGATGTCTCATACTGTGGAGTCAGAAAGCAGCAGACAATCGATGCATTGGCAATATCTGATGTCATCCTATATCATCAGTGAAATTATATTTCATGAAAAAGTGATGAGTCTGTTCTATTTAAGTTGAAAAAATACTTTACTCACTTTTCTAAAGTATAGTCATTGATGCCAGTATAATCATTCATCGAAACATGATTACCTAATGTGATTAGTCCATTGCACACCCGTGTGACTAGTTGTTTATCGTCCGATTGATAGACGAGTATAACATGATGTTTTATTCGTTGTTGCGACATGAACAATCTAAAGACTCTCAAAGTTAAAGAAAGTCTCTTATTGACTTCTAATTGATAACGACGAGCATAGCTAAGTCTAATTATGTGACCATAATTTTCGCAGTCTGAGCATTCTTACGACAAAATCTCATACTATTATTTGCTGTAACTGGAAGCAATATCCATATGTTTTTTGAATTATTTCATTTTTTGTTGATATGAACTTTGCCGCATGAAAAACCAGAAAGTTTGAATATGTTCAATTAGGTGAACTGTGCTGGAAAAGGTTTTATCAACAATGACTTACGTAGACAGTGAAAGACATCTAACAGTTGGCACTTGTTAGGCCGAACGAGAATGAGAAGTCTATGACATGCATTTTTTAATTCCATACTTTCTCAAAAAAAAGTGCGGGAGCATGTCTTAAGAGAATAAGAAAAATCTATTTTATTATTCAATACAACGAACAACAACAACTAGGTAGATACGAATAATAGCTTTAGTAGAGCTCGTGATCTGATATCCTTTGAAGAGGATATAAGAGTTATATTGATATTGCTGTATTTGTTTCAATCGAAACACAATCTACTGCTGGCAGTGAATAATGTGTTCTGTTCCTTGATTGCTTATCAGACTTTGCTCGTCTACATTGCGAAAAGAGCTAAAGAGAAAGTATTTATGAAGAGTCAAACATGTCTCTTATAATTTCTTACCATACTAGCAAGGGACTCTCTAGAAGTGTTCCATCACTTTTGAGTTCATTTGCTATTTTAGTCTCAATGGCTCAGTTATTGGATTTCTGGATTAAGCATATAGATGTGGCTGACAAGGGAACATTTTTAACTGATCAATCGTTTTTCAGTTCAGACTCGATGCAGTATATAGGCCCTATTGAGATATGAAAAAATTCAAAAGGATGAGTCCCCTTAGGTCTTCTGTCCAGATTTACAGGCACTTTACTACAATTTTTGCTTGTAGCAGGATATGCACTGAAAACATGTACTATAGTATTTCGAGTTGAGATTAAGTCTGCAGATAGTTCTATTTCTGAATAAAATATTCTGAGAATTTCAGATCAGAATAACCCTTCTTCCCTGAGATATTAAAGTCGGAAAAAACAGAAAATCCTAGCATTTTATGAAATTTTTGGGACTTCAACATCTCAAGAAAGAAGGGTTATTTTGATCTGAAATTTTCAGAATATTTTATTCATAAGTAGAACTATCTGAAGGCTTAATCTCAACCCAAAATACTATAGTAAATTTTTTCAGTGCATAACCTACTACAGGCAAAAATTATAGTAAAATACCTGTAGGTCTGGACAGAAGACCTAATGGAACTCATCCTTTTGAACTTTTTCATGTCTCAATAGGGTCCATATAATTTACCGAGTCAAAACTGAAAAACGATTGATCAGTTAAAAATGCTCCCTCGTGAGCTCCGTTTTGTAGCTTTTAAGCTGAGGAACCGAATTGCTTGTATACGTTTCCATGATGTATTAAGATACCTGATCTCTTCAGAGCATTCTTCTTCGAATTCTTGGTCAGCTGATCATTCATCAAATAAAATGAGTACAAATCTGAAATTGAAACGCGATTGCATGCACACAAACCAATTCAAAATTATACTTCCTGATAATGAAAGCGATCCTGTGAATCATTACCATTTTTTCAGAGCAGACAATGCTTAGGTCCGTCTACCACTGCTTGATCCAAGGGAGGGGAGCGGCTTCTAGCGACTCCTTATGGATTCTACGATCCATCAGGATCCATTTTAATCTACGAAGAACACTCTGTTTTACAGAAATTCATCGTTATTGATAAGCTTAAATCATTAGCCAGAATAATTCTACAACCACCAAAGGCACTAGCTAGACAAAATAGTGAGAATTTACCAATATTAACATAAGCTAGAGAAATTTCAACAATCATAATGTATACGTTTTCACAGGCCGGAGTTTTTCTTTTTTTTTTTATTATATCGGAATGCTTACAAAAGCCTTTTATTATACAGAAAAAGAAGAATCAATGCATTGATTCGCTCCTTTTGTTCTTTGATTTTATATCGAAAGCAATACTTTTTATAGGATTAACTACAGGGTGTGGGTGCGGATGGATGTGGGAATGCGTGTTGGAATGTGAGTGTGGATCTTGTCCTCTTTGTTTACCACACCAAAATCCACACTCGCAGTGTTTCTCATTTTTTCCGTCTCGTTTCACTTACTAATGTGTAACAAATATGAATCATATACTGTTTGAAAGAGGAGAAAATGTCCTATCAACTGATAAAAAAATAGCCTTTTCAGAACCTATTTATCGAAGAGATAAAAGGATTGATAGTTTGTACGATCCTTTTATAGAAAAGTGCGGGTTTCTTTTAAGGTTGTTTCTCTTTTCTGTTACATCGTTTCGTTTATAAACGTGTTATAAAAATAAGTTATATACGATTCGAAAGAGGAGAAAAAGCTCTATCTTTTGGTAAAAAAGGTTTTCTTTCAGCATCCTTCTACCAAAGAGAAATAGGGGTCAATATTTTATGCTATTACTTTTGCATCTTATGTTAGATATATATTTTGTTTCTCAATTTTATTTTTGATCTTATCGCAGTTATGATGAATTGATCTCGATTTAATTGAACCTATTGAAACAAATTTAGACATATACTACTCAAGAATGACTCTAGTCCATCGGTCTTGAGTTTCTAGTCTCCTCTGTTGGCATGAATCGTACAATCAGTTCGTTGAGTAAAATAAAGGTTTGTTTTTTTTTAATTGTCATTATTCGTTACTTGCGATGTGTCTCTTTTTATAAAGGTGAACAACATAACAGGAATCAAGTTATGAAGCACATGACTCGAAAAAGGCCAGAACTACGAATAACATTCTAATCAATGCTAGAAGTGTCAATAGTTTTCTGCTTTGTCGATAAAAAAAGATTTACATTTTGAAGGAGACTTTCAAATGTGATCGCCGCACGGTGTGAAGATGTTGATGTGCTGTTCTTTTCTGCAATCTCATTTAAACTCACATCCACATCCACACTCGGCTCTCTCCAACCATGACAAAAAGAGAAAAACAAATCCTGTTGAAATTTTCAATTGTTGGCACATGACATAGACTATAAATGCCTTAAGATTTGAATATCTCAGTTTGTACACGTCAAAAACAGCTCATATTTTAAATTTGTTAGTTTGTCAGTGAGGTCTTTAATTTGACAATCATATATGTTCAATATTGTTGAGTTACAATGCATACCCTTCCATTGTTAGTGATTTAAATAAAAATTTCTCTCTTAAAAATCATATTTCACAAATAAAAGATAATACATGAAAAGAAAACTTTATTAAATAAATGTTAATTAAATAGTATACTTGATTTGAACACAACCAGATGGAAATATTTTTGTATCGGAATATTTAAATTGCTGTTCAATAGATTGTTGTCCAAATAAATGAATACCTTTACCAAGAACAATTGGAATTATAGTCAATATAATTTCATCAATTAAACCTAAGTTAAGTAATGTTTTATTTAATTGAGCACCACCAACTAACCATATATCTTTACCAGATTGGCTTTTTAATTGATTAACAAATTCATAAACATCATCATTAACAAACTCAACAAATTCATTTGCTTTTTGTTTTTCATGAGAAAAAACATAATTTTTTTTATCTGGATAAGGAAAGTGACCAGGAAAAGTTAATATTTGTTGATAAGTTTTTCTTCCGATTAACGTAACATCGATATTTTCATAAAATGATTTATATCCATAATCATCATTATTTTCATTATTAATTGGTGGTAACCAATCAATATTTCCATCTTCTCTTGCTATAAAACCATCTATACTAGCAGCTATAAAAAGTATTACTTTTCTCATTTTATTTATTATATGTCGAACATATTCAACTAACTATTTACTAATATAAATATTTTCTTTTTTTGTAATGCCAAACAACTGATTTAATAAATTAGATAATTTATCTTCGAATAAATCTATTTATTTAAAATCTCCTGAGAAAATAAATGTTTTTATTACTTCTACTAATAGTTGTACTACTGTCCGATAAACAATAGTTATTGTCTCTACTTTTGTCTCATCTTTACTTGAATCATCTGTTGACTCAGTGATTGGTGTAATTTAGACGCCAAGCATAGCACGAAGATGAGGGCGCTCTCATTCAAATGAAGATGTTCCTTATTTTTTATTTAGTTATTCGTATTTCAATTGTTTTAATATCTATTACACTAACTTATTATATTATGAAAAAAAAAATTTTAATTGCCATCGTTTGTTTTTTTAAAACAATAATCATATAGAGTTAATTTTAAAAAAGTTAAGGATTTAAGATAGTATATAAAAGAGTAAATTGTTTTAACCGATTCTGTTAGGCCTTGTCTACACTAGAAAAACAATTCGGCATTAATTTCGAATTAAATCTACATGCGTCTACACTTATAAATTTAATGCATCAATCAGAACTGAGAAATGGCTACTATAATGTAGTCGAAGGGTGTGGGCGTGGGTGTGAACCATCTCTTCACCGACACTCACACTCTCCAGCATCTACTAGCATTTCTTGTTTTCTCAAGAGTTATTGAGACTTATTAATAAGTGTAACTCTACCATGGAGACCACTATTTTGTGGTTTCTATGCCGGTCACAAGTCCGGACAAAGGAGGAGTGTTGGACGGAAGGGGTGCAGATACCGCCGTCTGTAAAAACAAAAAGACGAAAGAAACTAACCATGAACGACATTAGCACGAAAACATACCGGCTCGGACGTCGCCCGGGAAAACAAGGTCCGCGTCCTCTGCCGAGTGACCAGGACAGAGTCGAAAAATTGGCTACTGGAAAAAACTTACAAAACTTACATACAAAGTATACGACGAAAAACACGAAAAAACTAATACCTGCTAAAAATACTCTGACAGTAGGAACATGGAATGTGCAGACCCTTTGGGCTGCTGGAAAATTAGAACTACTTAGAAACGAAATGAAACGTTTCAAGTACGATATAATTGGTATTTCTGAAGTGCGATGGACAGGCAAAGGTGAAACATCGAATGGTGATTTCATCTGGTCAGGAGAAGAGACCGTACATATGAGGGGTGTAGGTTTCTTACTAAGTGCACAAGCTAAAAAGGCTTTGATAGGATACAATCCAATAAGTTCACGAATAATTTCGGCACGATTCGATGCAGCACCGTTTAAAATCTCAATCATACATGCATATGCGCCAACTTCTGCATCGTCAGAAGATGAAATTGAAGCATTCTACAATGATATTGAGGAAGTAATAACAAAGACAGATAAAAAAGATGTAATCATTCTGACAGGAGATTGGAACGCAAAAATTGGTAATGATAATAAAGATTGGGAATCCGTTATGGGTAAATACGGTTATGGCGATAGAAACGAACGAGGAGAACGCCTCCTAGAATTTGCGGCGACACACAATCTCTACATATGTAACACAAGGTTTCAACATAAACCTAATCGAAAGTGGACTTGGGCGTCACCAGATGGCATACACAAGAACATGATTGATCTGATTCTCATTCAAAGAAGATGGAAGACGTCGGTCATCAATTGTCGAACATTTCAGAGTGCAGACATAAGCTCAAACCACTCATTAGTCTTATGCAACATCAAACTGCGACTAAAGAAAATGTACAACAAGCCGCAACAATCCTATAGCGTTGATGTAAACCGATTGAAAGATGAGAAAATAAGACTATCATACAGTACTACACTAATAAAAACCATGGAAAACATAGAGCCATCATGTAATCTGGAAGTCCATTCAAACCATATAAGACAGGCAATTCAAAACACAGTAGAGACAACGATACCTGCAAAAAGAAAAACTAGAAAACCGTGGATTTCCGAAGCGACACTAAAATTTGCTGATGAAAAACGAAAACTAAAACAGATGAAAAACATTTCCATAGAATACACACAGCAATATAAAGACTCATGCCGGAGAGTCAAGAAATCTGCAAGACAGGATAAAGAGCATTGGATACAAGATCAATGCGAACAAGCTGAAAAAGGTCTAAACATTGGAAATACCAGAGAAGCATACAGCCTATTGAAAATGTTAAAAAGCGAATTTGTACCTCGGTTGAATGTGATACGAGATCAGCAGGGCGCAGTGTTACAGTCCAAGGATGACATAAAGCAAAGGTGGACACAATATTGTAGCAGTCTGTATAAAGATCCTGGGGGTGGAGACGGGATGGCAGAAGAACTTGAAGACATCGCACCTCCCGTAGACGGAAATTCCTCGGATGTTCTGTACTCTGAGGTCGAAGCAGCTATACATGCATTAAAAAGAAATAAGAGTCCAGGATCAGATGGGATCACGGCCGAAATGCTACAAGCTGGGGGCGAACCACTAGCACGGCAGATCCATAATCTCTGTAACAAAGCATGGAATGAAGGTACAATTCCAGAGGATTGGGGTAAATCCATCCTGGTACCAATTCCGAAAAAAGGAGATCTCAGCAATTGCTCGAACTATCGAACGATCTCTCTGATTAATCATACAGGAAAAGTACTCCTAATAGTACTGCGAAATAGATTAAAAAATCATCTGGATCCGTACCTCTCAGAAGAGCAGGCAGGGTTCCGAACAGACAGGAGTACCATACATCAGATACTAACGCTTAGATTATTGGCTGAAAAAGCAAAAAGACAGGGTAAGAAAATATACAACTGCTTTATAGATTTTCAAAAAGCATTCGATACCATCAAACATAAAATTATTTGGTCTATGCTAAAATCCTATGGTGTTGACACAAAAATGGTCACCCTGCTACAGAAAATATACGAAAAGTCACAGTCAGCTGTTCGCATTGGTAAAGAAAATGGCGAGTGGTTTCAAACAGACGTAGGAACAAGACAAGGCGATCCTTTATCACCACTCATCTTCATCGCATATCTAGAAAGGGTAATGGATCAGGTGAGGCAGAACACCTGCGGAATCAATGTCGGTGGAATCGTTATAAATAACCTAAGATTCGCGGACGACATTGATCTTATAGATGAAGATCTTAGCTCACTTCAAAGCCAAATTGAGCTAACAAAGACAGCGGCCGAACAAGCTGGACTGATATTAAATATAAATAAAACCAGAACCATGGTTTTTGGAGACAGGAATATTGAAAGTAAAATCAATGTAGCAGGTGGAACCATCGAAAATGTAGAAAAATTTGAATATCTAGGAAGTCTGCTGACATGGGGTAACAACTGCTCAGAGGAAATCAAAAGGAGAATAGGAAAAGCGACAGGTGCATTGGTTTCATTGAAACATATTTGGAACAGCAAAAAACTGAAGATTGAAAACAAACTCAGAATTTTAACAACATGCGTCTTCAGTGTCCTACTATACGCGTCAGAGACATGGACTTTAAAAGAGGCAGACAGGAAAAAACTATTGGCTTTTGAAATGAAATGCTACCGACGGATTCTAAAAATTAATTGGCAGGACATGATACGAAACGAGGATATTAGGAAAAGGATATCAAAAGAAGAGACGATAATAGATACTATCAAAAGAAGAAAGCTAAGGTTATTTGGTCACATCTGCAGAATGGACGACACTAGATTAATTAAACACGTTGTTTTTGCTAAAATGGATGGAAAATCCAGACGGGGGCGTCCATGCAGAGAGTGGCTGGATGATATAACCGAATGGTGTCAACGCAGTGGACAAGATCTGTTTCATCTTGCGCAAGACCGACAGGCGTGGAAAAATCTGATCTCGTAAATGGTTAGCCCCAACGGGCGCTAAGCCTATGGGACATGATGATGATGATGATGATTAATAAGTGTCTCAACATATTGAAATAAATCTCATAGAGTTCCTTAATCAAATTATGATATGGGCGAGGGCATATATGTGAGTGTGACTGAGAGTTTAGATACATTGGCGTTGTTGTTTTTGGTTCTAAAATATTATCATAATTAACAAATCTCCAAGAAATAAATAGATCCAATAGAAAATATAAAACCCGAAAGAATAAGTCTCGGTAGCTCTTCTAAACATGGACATTTGCTTTCAGTAGAGGGTTAGCGATGCCATGTGGTAACCGTTTAAGGGAATCCAACGAGTTAAGGGAAAATATGGATAACATTGTAGAGGCACATGAAATCGCGCGTTGGCACATAGACTTAGCACGAAAAACTAGCCGCCAATAGAGAATAAACGTTTTCAAAATACAGATTTTTATTATTAGTTGTGCTTCTATTGCAATTTTTTCAAATTTGAGGCTTGTGATATTAAATTTAAAAGTTCTAGTTCGCTTTTTTTATTCAAATCTGCACACCAATTGGTATAATTTCTATGCTAAGCATTTCATGAAAGCAGATATACACTGCGATTTAAGTTTAGAAGAACAAATTTCAGCATTCGACTCGTCACATTAGCTAATTCGTTTCATTTTACAAAATAGCTTTTTAGTAATCAATTGAAACAGTCACATGCGATAAACCAAACCATCTAATTTTAGAAGCGAATCAACAAAACAGTTCTATCCAACTCGTTTAAGACGTTTCGTCTTGAACTGAATTATATTATTGCATAGAACAGTTCGAATAACTGTTTAATGAAGTGTTCCCATCAAAATAACGGGTGATGCAAAAGTTCCTGGAAAAATGTCGCTTCATTTTTCATGGGATATAACATATTCCGGAAAAATCAAAAACACTTATTCAGGGTCTACGTTGGAAGCTCTTTCTAACTGTGTGTTCAAAAAACTCTAACATATCTTGTTTTTGAGTACTAAGCAAGTTTTTGAACAGCACTAAAATGTGTTCAGTCAAAAAACTCGAAATGGTTGCCGCAAAGATTTTTGTAACTTTATTGTGTCCAT